TATGTGTGTGTTGTACTTGTTCACTGCTGTGTGAAGCTGCTGAGGTGTGTTTGCAGAACAAAGATCATAAACAGGATGAAGGAAGGATGTGAAGAAAAGAGTGCGACAGCGTTTCATCAACTTCCCCGTTTTTCTCTCGCACTTTATTTTCATAACTTCAGAAAAACAAAACATTTACATCGGTGTGACGCACACAGACACACACAGACACACACACACACACACACACACACACACACTCACACACAAACAGGGTTATATACAGCATTAGTCACACTTCAGCTTTGGCTCAGTTTCTGTTCAAACGCAGCGAGGAGACGGTCCCGTCTTTGATGCAGCAGCTAAAACGTCACATTTAAAAACAGCTTCATGTTTACTGTACAAGCAAGCCCTGAAAGTCCTGGAAACACCTGGAAAAGTCCTGGAATTGGCTCAGAAAATGATGTGGAGGTTTTACATTCTCATTACAAAGGTTTCTTTTTGTTTTCCCCAAAACTGTAAAAGCCCCGCCTCCACCTGTGCTCTGAGGTGTTCTCAGGTGAGCGGGCTGTGACTGTGGGTGGATGTTAGGGTGAAGCAGCACACGTGTTGAATCAAAGCTTCTTAAAAACTCTTCCTGCGATCGAGGCGTCTGCTGGTGCAGCTGCCCTGGCACAAACAGGAAGTTGCGCGGTGACGGTTTCTACAGCGACAGCGCCTGCGAGGTTTCGCTGTCAGACATCACCGAGGCTCGGGTGGAGCTCAGCGGGCTCCTGCTGGACTTGGTGGACAGCTGGATCTTGGTGACGGGCGGCACGCAGCGGCAGCAGCGTAGCAGGTGCATCACGTCACGGCGGAAGCGCGAGCCCACGAAGACGTAGAGGAAGGGGTTGAGGCAGGCGTGCATGTAGGCCAGACTCTTCAGCACCTGCCCCGCCTTATCAAAGGCCATCAGCTGATCACACTCCGTGATGGTGATGTTGGAGGCCTGCACCGCCTCCATCACCAGCACGCTGTTGTAAGGCAGCTGCGACACAACGAACGCCACCACCACCGCCAGGATGACACGCATGGCCTTGTGCTTCTGGAAGCCCTGGGTCTTGAGCAGCGTGGCGACGATGACGCTGTAGCAGAAGGCCATGACGATGAAGGGCAGGCAGAAGCCCATGCTCACCTGCAGGGACAGCACCAGGATCTTGGTGTTGTTCCCCAGGTTGTTCGGGAACACCATACGGCAGTAGTCCTGCGATTCCACCTTTGCGGGGGCAGCAAACACCAGCTCGGGCGTGGCGAGGAGCAGCGCCAGCAGCCACACCCCCGCGCACACCAAACGGCTGCAGCGCAGGCGCTCCACCTGCGAGTTGTGCGCCTTTGTGGTCTGCACGATGGCGATGTAACGGTCCACGCTAATGCAGGTAAGCAGCAGCATGCTGCTAAACAGGTTCACCTTGTAGAGGGCGGAGTTTATTTTGCAGAGGGAGGTGCCGAAGATCCAGCTGTGCGACGCCTCGGCCGCCCACAGCGGCAGCGTGACCAGGAACAGCAGGTCGGCCACGGCCAGGTTCAGCAGGTACACGTCGGTCATCGTCTTCAGCCGGCGCCGGAAGTTCAGGTAGATCCAGACCACGGCCAGGTTCCCGGCTCCGCCCACCAGGGCGATGATCCAGAAGAGCGGTGGCTCATAGTGACT